GCACGCCCACACGAGTACACACACACACGAGTATACACACACGCGCCCACGCGCGCACGCACGCACACGCGCGCCCACGCGCGCACGCACACATGCGCCCACGCACGCACACACGCGCGCGCGCACGCACACACGGGCGCACGCACGCCCACCCATCGGCCATGTAGTGATCCGTGAAACCCTCGTTATACTACATAGCCACCCCGCCACGCTATACACATCAACTGGGAGCTGCGCCTATCCCTCCGTCATTACTCAACGTAATCACGACATTTTTCTCAATCTCCGAAGAATGAGCTTCGGTTATGACCCTCTGATCTGCGAGCGTTAAGACGAGCACCCTCACAGCGGTTCACTGATTACGTGAAGGGTGCAGGGCTACGTAATGACCCCCTTGCGCTCTTAATGGATGATCAACCACGACTAGATCGAGTTAGTGGGAAGAGAAGGATGAGACTGTCGCGCAGGCACGTAGGCTGCATTGCATCAAATGCAGGAGGAAAGGTAGAACCAAGACGTACTCTTAGAATACACGAGGTGCTGGGGAGAATGACGGAGGTAGCTATGTGCGAGGGATGAGCCAGAGTTTAATGCGGAAGAGATGAGGAATGGCGGGATAAGAAAGCGAGAGTTGTGCTGTAGTGAATACTCCACACAACAGGTGCGGATGACGAGAGAGATGGAGAGATAAAGGAGAGTGAGATCATCTACGCACACTACATGCAAATAGAATTGACCAAGTTAATATATAACTGGCTGTCACCACCATTACAACTTATTCGTTGTAATTTTATTTAAACCTATCGGTGTTATTCACAGTGATGTAGTAGTATACAATGTCAGAGTATCACTGGCACGACCCCATGATATGCTAAATAGACAGAGGGAAATAGCAGTAACGAGATCTAGCGTTGGGAAACTGTAGACATAAAGGGAGATAGCGAAAAAGAAACTTAGTGATACGGCTGTATATAGAAAGCAGGAGAGATAGGGAGAGACGAAGACAGAGAAAGCTGGGTGGAGAGTAAGTGAGGAGAGAGGCTCCACCCCCGCTTCTTGATGATGTCGACGAAGTTCCACCATTCCGGCCCGTCACTAAAAAGCAAATGACATGAAACTGTGAAGCAGAAGCGATACGGCAAATGAATCGTGAATTCTAATATTACATAAGTCAATCATAATAGTGCATGTTACATTACTACTGTTACAACATATTTTATCATGTTAATACTCATAATAGATATAGATAGAGATATGACAAATATAATTACAGTGTAAATACACATGAATTAGGGCTTGTTTTAATCTGGCAGCAGATATTGTAACTATAATAATGTAATCATATGGTTATAAGGATTATAAAAGTTATTATGAGATTAAAGAACAAAATATTAAATTA